ATTATTAACATCAATTCCTTTAGAAAAATTAAAATTCATAAATGAAAAGAATATTTTATAATGAACCAGCATTAGTTAGTATTGAATTATTGTAGAGTTTAAAATTAATGAATGGAAGAGAAATTGAAAAAACAATTATTAATGAATTTATTATTCCAATTACAATTAGTTAAATAAGTAATAATTGTTTGTGTAAATGTACTTCATTATTTTCCATTAATATTCATTTTTCAATTTATAAATTAGTAAATGAATACTTTATTAAATGTTCAAGGTAACATTAACTACTCTTCCATTTTCTGTTTTGAATTATGAAATACATGTTTTTTGGTTGTTTATTTTTAACATCAGTTAATATTCCAACATCATTTACTAGAATTGGATATTATTGTTTTTATGAATGTAGATTAAATAATATCACTACTCCTACTTCAATTAATAAATTGGACTGTCAATGTTTTTATGGATGTTTATCATTAAATAATTACTATCCCTCCTTCTATTACTAAATTAGAAATACTTGTTTTAGAAAGTGCAGGGTAATCTTCTATCACTTTACTACTTCAATTGTTAAATTACGATAGCTGTTTTTATGGTTGTTCTTGAATGACTTCGATTATTCTCCAATCAAAAATTACATCATTTGGAAAGAGTTGTTTTTATGAATGTGGTTGTTCATCACTATTAACAGAAGTTACACAAATACTAAGAGAAGATTTTCTAGTACACTAATTTCACATTAACATAATAATTAAACCATTCATTTATTTTGAATGTTTAATGTTCATTCAATGATTAAATCATCATTGTCATTGATATTTGTGATATTATTTCGTTTTTGTTATTAAATTATGTTATTATTTGATGACATGATACCACGTTATTCCACGTTGATATGAATAACAAAATATGAATAACAACCAACACAACAATAAGTCATCACATCATCCTCATTAAGTATTTAAAGGAACTTGAACAAATAACAAGCATTTAGAAATAAAACATGGACCCAAACAAATGGACAGATGCAACTGTTCAAATGTTCAAAGAATCACAAGAAATAGCATTTGAAAGAAAAAATGCATACATTATGCCAATTCATATGATGGAAGCAATTGTTGAAGAAGAATCAAATATTGTTATCCGAATAGTTGAAATGATGGGAGGTGATGTTAATAAATTAAAGAAAGAAATAAAAGAAACAATGAATAAAATCGCAGTTCAAAATCCACCACCAGTTGATATTGGACTTCATCCAACAACACAACAAGTATTAAGAAGAGCAATAGAGAAACAAAAAAGAATGGGAGACTCATATCTTGCAATAGATGTAATTGTAATGTCATTAATGGAAGAGAAAGAAATTAGTACAATAGTAGGAAATAGTGGAATTAATGTGAAAGAATTTAACAAAAAAATAACAGAAATGAGAAAAGGACAAAGTGTAGAAACAAAAGAAGCAGAAAGTCAATATGAAGCATTAAAGAAATATGGAAATGATTTAACAGCACAAGCAGAAAGTGGAAAGATGGATCCAATTATTGGAAGAGATGAAGAAATTAAACGAGTTATTCGTATTTTATCAA